AAAGATGTCTGGAAGGTGCAAAAGTTATTTTGCTGAAATTTCTGCAGGACTGGAGGGGCACTCCGAGAACTTTTCCCTGGGACCGTTTTGCACATTGAATCACAACCAGGTCTACTAATGAAGAAGCACTTACCCACATGTTACAGACATACACCTGCAACATCTCTCCTCCAGACGGGCTGTAAACCACCCATTTGGGGAATGACAGTGAAAACACGGTGGATGTAACATGTTGAGCCTCATGTTTCAACGCAGGGTTGCTTTGCCAGAGCCCCAGGGCAAATTATCAAATGTTCACTTTACAGAAGAAATAGCATGAGCTGTGTGCAGCCCGGCCCCTTCTGTGGTCCCAAACCGGACCCCGAGATGGGGTTGGTTGGGGTTGGGTGTGCTGAGGCTTGGGACTGGGAGTCAGGCGTCTGTGGCACATCACAAGATGATAAGTAGCCAGTTTTGCACCCTGAACTAAATCTGCTGGGTCGAACTGGTGCCTGTAAAATATCCAGCTTTGTAATGTATTTTCTCTTTGGGTTTCTATGTCCAGGAGCACTGCAAAGAAGGAGGGAAATAAAGACAGATGGGCTGTGGGCTCTCTGAGAGGCTAGGGGGCTTCACCGGGGCCAGTGGGAATGAGGCTCAGTGGTCCACTGGCGGGGCACTCACGGGCTCTCTTGAGTCCAGTCTGTGGCTGAGTTATTCTGGAGGAAAGGTGGTCACAGGGAGCATGGCCAGGGGTCAGGAATTTACTCCATTTTTGTCCGCAGAGGTCAGCTCTTTGACAGTGAAGGAGGGAGGTTCTTTCCTCTGGTGACAGAGATGCCCGTGAACCAGTTCGCACCGCAAGAAGTCTCAGGGTCAAGGATGGGGCCCAGCCACAGAACTCCCGTCCTTTCAATTTGACTGGATGTCATTTGGAGCAGGCTGATGCAACGATGCTACAGAGCAGGAAACACGCAAAGCAATTATCTTTTTAGTAGGTCACCGGCCTCCTCTGGGAGAAGAGACCGGAGGGAGGGCTGGGGAGGCGGGCAGCGCGGCCGCCCCCAGAGGCTGTGCGCGCAGTAGCGGCGTTGGTGATTAATAGCTGTGTCATTTTCCGTGAATGTTGCTTTAAGCAGCCGTGCTCAAAATCGAGTGGGAATGAAATAAAACAACCCAAAATAAATGTTTCCTCTATTCCTCATGAGTTGCTGGAATCCAGAAATAGCTTCTCGACGCTGTAATTTTAAGTGGCCTCGTTCACAGCCCTCTCGCGGGGCTCCTGTGGTGCACATGCATCACCTTCTGTTTTTAAAGCCCATGAAGAATCTGAGCCCAGTGACTTTGGGGTTGTTTTCTGGCCCTGAAATGAAAATTATGTTTACAGAGGAAAACGTAGCTTTTACATGTGCTTTTAAAGGAAAACAGTAACCCAGTGGAGGAAAAGGAAGGAGGAACATGGTGTCCATATAGATCGTAAACTGGGATGGTGAAAGCATCTGGCAGGCAGTCATCGCTGCCAGTTGCACGGATGTGGGAGCTGTGTGCAGGGCGATGTGTCTGGGCGCTGGCAGCCAGGGGATGGGCCTGGACCATCCCGGGCCCTGAGAGCATAAGTAAGAGGGTGAGCGCAGAGTGGCAGGGCAGGGTTCCTGCTCCGGCCAAGCCCTCTCACAGCACACAGACTTGAGGCCCCCTCTCTCTGCTGCCTCTGTCGGAGCCAGGCCACCAGTGGTCTGGTTCCTGGCCCTGGGGCGATTCCGGCGGGGGAACAGTGGCCTGAGTGGAAGAACCCCTGCGGGAGGTGGCTGGGGGCGTGGGCTCTGGGTTGGTTAGTTTGCAGATGAAAGATACAGTCCTTTGCTCCCTCGAGGAATCAGCTTGTCCTGGGAAGGGCAGTCCCTCCAGGGCCAGCCAAAGCCCAGATGTCCACGCATCAAAACATGTGGCTGATACAGGTGTGCAGGGCTCCAGCACGGAAGGGCAGGGTGCTCCCGTGTGGGAAAGTAACAGATGAAATGCTCGGGGCCTTCTGGGGAGAAGCAGCTGCCTGCTTTGATTGCTTTGGTTTGGTGTTTGAAGGGGCGAATCCAGAGCAGGGAGGAGGGGGCTGAGCCACCATAAATGTGACATGGTGGCAGGTCGGGGTGAGGCTGGCTGCAGGCAGAGCGCCCTGCCTGGACAGAGGCCCAGGACGGGAAGGTGTCTGTGGGGCTGAGCAGGAAAAATGGTTGAGACCCTCGAGGAAGACAAAAGTGGCTCTTGGTTGCCAAACTGAGGCTTCTGGATTTTATTCTGTATGAGCTGGCCAAGGCTGTTCGGCCCTTGGGAGTTCTCCTGATGAATTCATAGACTCATACACTGTGACTACGCTGGGCCGTGTATCATAATGGCGGAACTTAGTTAACAAGTTACAATGCTGATGTAAATCGATTCCGGATGGAAAAAAATCCACCGTGGTGGGGTTGAAAATGCAGCACCTCCCAGGCTGGCTGATGATGCTGGAGAATGGAAAGGACTCTGGCAACCGTGGGGACCAGCCCTGTACCCCCCACCCCTGAGGGGCTGACGTCCTCTGACCGCCAGGGGACTATGTCAAGGAATGGGGTCCAGAATTGCCAGATCTTCCTTGTTTCCAAGAAAGAGTGGACGTTCAGATTCTTGCTGGGAAATCTCCTGAGACATATGAAGTCGCCTGGTCACCTGGCAATACATTAACCAAACTCTTCCGTCCCCGTCAGGGTGATGACAGGCACGGACCCTTGGTGGCCTCTTTCTGTTCAGCACCTGTCACCCAATTGAACTATGAGGGTCAGAGAAGAAATGGGGTGATTACAAGGGGTGTTCACATTGGGGAACAGAGGCGTGGCAGGTCGGGGGTCAGACCTGGCATCCAAAGACCCTCCCTGAGGTCAGGGTGAGCCCCTCCGTGGTGTCTCACCTGCATTTCCTCATTGGCAGAACACATTCATTCTTTCATTCATTCAGCAAACATTGAGGGTCTGCTGAGTGCCGGCCGAGACAGACACCGCACACACAGAAAATTCGATGGGACACCATCTCCAATCACTCTGTTACTGAAATTATTTTTTGGCAAAAACTAAAACTAAAAGTTGCTGTGATCAGTCCCTTCTTTTGCTGTTGCCATGCGGGTGATGCTTCCTGCAGTGATGTTCTGGTACCAAATAAGGAGATACTGGTGATTGACAGGGTGGGGTGGGCAGGGGCCGGGGGAGGCGTGCACAAGGCTCTCCCTGCTCACCACCTACTGGAAACTAGGTGGCAGAGCTTTCAGAAATATACAGTGCAGGCTTCTTAAAAGCTCAGCCTTATTGTCATCTTTATAATCCCTTGTATGGGTGTATACAATGCTTTTTGCAAGAGAAATTGAAAAGACAGAGTAACTACAATTCTCGAGATGCTGAGATGTTTTTATTATTCCTTGGGCCGTCCTGACTCTGGTGGATGCCCAGCGCCTGGTGTGGTGCCGGCACAGAGCAGGCGTGTGGATGTCCCCCAGGGGAGTGAATCGCATGTGGCAGCGTCTGGTTTCAGTGGACAAGAGCTTTGCCACAACGACCATAGGACAAGTCACAGTACAGTCGCAGCATTTTGAAATGAAAGTTTAAGAGTGAGGACAAATGGAGTTGATAAAATGACCTGACATTATGATGACACCATTATTGGATCTGTGATTGTTTTATTGGCTTCAACATGATCCAGCAAAAGCTGAGAGGTTTTCCTATAGACTTGTCAGGCTCGTTTGGCACTGTGCCCTGTTGTGGCTCAGTATGGTTGGGATGGATGGAGGGCATGGACAAAGGCAGGGTGGGGTTGTGGTCCTCGGACAACCATCAGTGGGGTGGTTAGACTGCGTCTGGGGAAGCTGTGCTGGTAGAAGATGAGCCTGCGCTCATAGTGTGCCTGTGTGCTTTGCTAGGTGTGTCCTCACTGACTTCCAGCCACACGACATGGCCAGGCTGTAAATTCTAGATGCCTTAGGAACTAAAAAGATCATTGTGCCCTTCTTTTAATTACAAATGGGAGCAGTATTAAAGCACTACACGATGACTCAGAAGGTATCAGATATAAAATTTTTTTAAATGTGCTGTATCCTCTCTCCCCTTGAATGACTGATGGATATCCTCATTTCACTGGTGTCTGAAGCACAGGTTCACCTTGCCTGCTTGATAACCTAGCATGGTGTGCACGTGTGTATGGTGCACACATCTGTGTAAAATGTTGCAGACATCAACATTAAGGTCAGAGCTGTCACAGAGGGAGGCTGCCAAGCCCAGTATCATAGAGCATCAGCCTGTCCAGGGCAGAAGGGTGACATCCTCATGCTGGGCTCTTGCCGTCTGCAGCTGCGGGACTCTGTAAGATTAGTCCGTGGGTGGTATCTGGGGACAGTCCCACACCACTTTTTGAGCTGCTCCGAGGAGGGCCCCCGTTCACCCCTCCACAACTGTGTCAGAGCAAAATGCAGCGCTGTCCACAGGGCACAGGGTTTAAGGCAGGATGCACGGACACCTTTTCCAGCAGGGATGGTGGAGGGGATTTAGGTGGGCTGAAAATAACAGCCCGCCTGTGAATCTGACAGAAGCACCGGGGTGAGCGTTGCCTCTTTATTGAGAATGTCCTTTTGAAGTATATTCTAGGATATCGCTCCGGTCCTATTAATTATGTCAGAAACTTAGGAAAGCTGAATAATTAATGATCATAGGGCGCTTGGAACTATAAAATGCCATGTAAATGTTAAGGAGTAAAAAGTACTGTGTGTATTAAATAGATACACAGCTTTAAAAATATCCCATGGTGGGAAGGTTAATTTCCAGGGAAGCTAAAAAGATTTTTGTTGGACTCTCTTTGGAATTATTTTTAATATCTTAATATCTTAACTACATTTTAGGAGACTCAGGCATCCTGTCCTCTGAAGTATTTGAAGGACAGATGTCTGTTTGGAACAATGTTGCCTCTTGGATTTCGGTAAAATGGTATCTGCTTGATTCTCTCTCTAGCCGGAGGCAGTTCGGGCCCAAAGCCAAGGAAGAGGTCAGAATTATTGAGCACCAAATGCAAACCCTGCAGCTGATGCCTCACCTGGCCACAGCCTTGGCCCTGACCTTCACCAGCAGGTGAGATGGCTCTGGGGGTTTCCCCTCTCAAGGTGAGTCTGAGGCGCTGGCGTCAGCAGGAGGGAGAGGGGTGGTGGGCAGGGGCGAGCACTGAAGAGTCTGTGGTTAGAATTCGGCACTCAAGTTAAAAGTGACATCCGAATCTATGGGCAACTGTGTGCCAACAAATTAGATAACCTAGATAAAATGGAAAAGGGGGAAAGTGGTAGAAAGGTACAAACTACCCAAACTGAATGAAGAAATCCAAATAAACATATAACAACTAAAGAGACTCGATTTGTAACTTGAATGTGTCTAAAACATAGATGACAAAGAAATACTTCCCAAAATATTCTGTGGGGCCAGAACACTCAATGCCAAAAAGAGGCAAACTATAGACCAGTATCACTTATGAATATAGATGTAAAAATCCTCAACAAAATGCAGGCAAACTAAAGCCAGAAAAATATAAAAAAGATTATATTAAGTGAGATTTATCCCAGGAATGCGATTTTGGTCTAACATACAAAAACCAACCAATGTAACAACTGTATTAAATAGAATACATGGAAAAAACCCCACATGATCATCTCTACAGATGTGGAGAAAGCATTTGACAAAATCTAACACCTTTTCATGATAAAAGACACTCAAAAGTCTGGGATTAGAAGGGAACCTCTTCTGTCTCATAGAAGTCATCTATGAAAAATCCACAGTTAACATCACACGTGGTGGCTGAAAGATTGACTGTTTTCCTCCTAAGATCTGGAGCAAGACAAGGATGTCCGCGCTCTCCACATCTATTTAACATTGTGTTGGATGTGTTAGCCAGGACAAGCAGGCAAGAAAAATAATAGAAGCCATGTAGATTGGAGAGGAAGAAGTAAAACTGTCTGTATTTACAGATGACATGGTCTTGTATATAGAAAATCCTAAGAAATCCACTAGAAATTTGTTAGAACTAATACATTCAGCAAGATTACAGGATACAAGATCAAGATATAAAAATCTATTGTATTTTGATCTCCTCACAATGAGTAATCCAAAAATGAAATGAAGAAAAGCAATTCCATTTACAATAGCACCAAAAGAATAAAATGCCTGTAATAGATTTAACAAAAGAAGTTTAAAATGATGTAAATATATGGAAAGGCATCCTGCATTTATAGATCAGAAGACTTAATATTATTAAAGAGGCAATACTTCCACAATTCATGTACAGATTTAATGCAATCTTTATCAAAATCCCAGGAGCCTGTGTTTTTTTTTTCTCCAGAAATTGAAAAGCTGATCTTAAAATTTATATGGAATGGAAAAGACCCAGTGTAGCCCAAACTATCTTGAAAAAGAAAAAAAGTTGGAAGACATACACTTCCTAATTTGAAAACGTACTACAGAGCTATAATAATCAAGGCAGCGTTGGGGACGTGGTATAGCTCAGTGGTAGAGTGCGTGCACAAGGTTCCGGGTTCAATCCCTAGGACCTCCATTAAATAAATAAACCTAATTACCTCCACCCACCCTAAAAAAAACCTCCCAAAACAAAAAACAACGTGGTATCGAGAGCACAGAAATAAATCCCTAACTGTATGGTCAGCTGATTTTGGACAGAAGTGTTAAGACAATTCAATGGGTGACAGAATAGTCTTTTCAACAAATGGTTCTGGTACAACTGGATACCCACATGCGAAAGAATGAAGTTGGACCCCTCCTGCACAGCATGGGCAGCAATTACCTCAACGTGGAGCACAGACCTAAATCTAAGAGCTAATGACATAATAAAGCTGGCAGAGGGGAACAGGAGTCAGCCTTCACAACCACGGGTTAAGCAATCATTTCTTAGCCGTAATTGCCAGGGACTAGGGGATAAGGGAGGGAGCGAGGAGTGACAGCTGATGGATGTGGGAGTTCTTTATGGGGTGATGAAGTATTCTAAAATTAGGTAGTAATTTAATTAGATGGGTGCACAACTCTGTAAAATATATTTAAAGCTGTGGAATTGGGTACTTTTAAAGTGTGAATGCTGTGGTGTGTGAAAGATCTCTCAATAATGCTGCTATGAAAGAAAGAAAGAAAGAAAGGAAGGAAGGAAGGAAGAAAGAAAGAAAGAAACAAAGAAACAAAGAAAGAAAGAAGGAAGGAAAGAAGGAAAGAAGGAAGAAAGGAAGGAAGGAAGGAAAGGAGGAAAGGAGGAAAGGAGGAAGGAAGGAAGGAAGGAAAGAAGGAAAGAAGGAAAGGAGGAAGGAAGGAAGGAAGGAAAGAGAGAAAGAGAGAGAAAAAGAAAGAGCGAAAAAGAGATCAGGTCCTGTGAACAATCAGTGATGTTGAGCATCTTGCCATGTGCTTGCTGGCCATCTGGATGTCTTCTTTGGAGAGATGTCTGGGTTTCTTTGTAAATACAGAGATAGTTAGGTCATGATTCTTTTTTATCCAATTTGAAAAATCTCTGACTTTTAGCTGGTATGTTTAGACCAGTTGCATTGAAAGTGACTGCTGATAAGTTTGGATTAAAATCTATATTGATAGCTGATTTTTATTTTTTCCATCTGTTTTTTTGTTGCTTTTTCCTTTCTCTTCTGCCTGATCTTGGATTACATGAGTATTGTTTATTATTCCATTTTCTCTCTTTCATTGACATTATTTATTATTTCTTTTGAAAATATTTTAATTGTTGACCCAGGATATATAGTCTGCATCTTCAGTGAGTTAGAGACTACACTGAACTATTCTATTGCTTCCCCTGGAGTGGAAAGACCTTAAACAGTGTATTCCCAATGCCTCCCTCCATACTTTTTTTCTGCAGTTGTTGTCACATAATTTCCTTTTAAATATGCTACAAATACACAACATATTGCTACTGTCTTTCTTTTTCAGTTATGTTTTAGAGCAATTAAAATGAGTTCAACTGAATTTCATTTTACCTTTATTTATTCAATTTCCAATATTTTAATTTACTTGTTATTGATCCAGATTTCTGATTGATACCATATTTGTTCTGCCTGCAGAACTTCTAACATTTCTTACAGAATCGATCTGCTAGCAATGAATTCTCCCAAGTTTTGTTTTTTGAGGAAGTAATTATTTCTCTTTAAAAAAAAAAAGGATGTTACTAATAGGTACAGAATTATGGGCTGATTTTTTTTTCTTTGAGCACCTTAGTAATGTCACTGCCTCTGTTGTCTTCTTGATTCCTTGATTCTCATGAGAAAATAGCCATCATTTTTTGGCTGTTTCTCTATAGGCCTCATATATTCCCACTTTAACTGCTTTTATGATTTTCTCTTTTTCTTTGATTTTCAGCATTTGATTATGTTGGCCTCAGTGTGGTTTTGTGGTTTTGTGTGTCTATGCTGTTTGGAGTCTGTTGAACCTCAGGGATCTGTGGGTTGAAGATTTTCATCAAATCTGGAAATATTTTGACCATTATTTCTTCAAATATTTGTTCTGCCCCATTCATTCTTTCCTTCCTATACAGATGTTAAATGGCTTCAGATTGTCCTACATGTCACTGAAGTTATGTTCTTTTTTTTTTTCTCTATACTTCAATTTGGATGATGTCCATGGACCTGTCTTCAGGTTCTCTGTTCCTTTCTTACACAACGTCTGATCTACTAGAATCTGCTGGTCCTCTGGAATTCAGTTCATCAAGCCTTCCTGCAGCTTTTGTTCTTTGACAACTCTTTGGGAAAACGTGATTTTTTAATTTTATCCACTTTTTTTTTCTTGCTGCTATTCAGGGAGCAAAAGTCTCCAGTGTCCTTTTGTATCTCAACCCTGTGGTATTTCTTTTAGCCTTATCGATTCCATCTGAAGTTGTCACTAACTCTCCACGAAGCGTTCCTCACCACGTTTACCCCTTTTGGCCTTACCCTTCTGGCCCTGCTTCAACTGAGGCAGGTGATTCCTGGCACATAAGTTGGTTTTCATTGGTTCTCAACCCGGATGCACATTAAAGTCATCTGATGTGCTTTTTAAAAACTACAGACTCTCTGTACCCACTCCCATGATTCAAACTCACCTGGTCTGGGGAGCAGCATCCCAAGGGACCAGAGTGTGTGCACTTAAGCTCCTTAGTGATTCTTACCAGCAGCCAGAGTTGAGAACCACAGGAACTTTCCAGGCAGTTTCCTCACACGACCTGGAAATTAATTTCACTAACAGATAAGAAACAGCAGTATTAAATTATCATGAACATTTAAATTGGATCAAAACAAGCTGACAAGGAAACCTGAGTATGTTTTGCATGCCTGCCCAAGGAAAATAAAATTTTTCTTTGAATTTTTTATCCAGTGGAACTTGTAACTATTATAAAGAGGCAAGGCTCTCTGTCCATTCACTTCTTAGTCCACTGTTTACAAATCGGAGACACAGGAAGTTACTAGACCATGTAACAAAGAGGCACTATTCCACATTTGCAAGTTTGTATATGTACAAACAGATACTTACAAGTATGCATAAGTTTATATGTATAAATATATTTATATGTATATGTAAGTTTATATATATATATACACATACCTAGCTTTATATATATAAGGAAAGTGTTATATGTATCAACATATTTTCCTTTTTTTCAGCTCCATTTTTATTTTTTGGATTGATTTAAGCTTCATACACCTTGATTCTGTAAGAAGTGTGTTGCCACTATTAATAAAAATTAAAGTTTCTCTGGATTTTAGGGAGACGCTCCTCAAAGGCCAACATCAGAGAAACAGAGGTCACAGCACTCGTCTTAGGCTGAGAATACTTGGAAATTAAACAATAAATTAAAAAATCATGGAGCCCTTGCCACGTGCCGTGCACGGGTGAGACAGTGCTGAACAGGACAGTTAGACACACGTTCTCACCAAGCTGTCAATCTGAAGGACCCCAGGACCGCCCTGATTTTCCTGACCGTCACCTCCTCGTGCCCTCTGTGGTCTCTGGCCGAGGTCAGTGTCCCCATCGTGGCTCTGCTGCTCCCTCCCTGCCTTTCCCTCCCTCTGTCCCCCACATCGTGGCAGGGGGTTGGCCACGGAGAA